AAAAAAAAAAAAAAAAAAACAAATCAAAATAAAATAGTTCCTTTACAATGAGCAACTCTCTATAAGTAACCTTAAGCAACATAAAAACTGTGTAACTAATCATGGTGATGTTGAAGCACTGCCAGCTTTGAGAGTTGAATTTGTATAGTTTCTTCACATCCAAAAAAAATAAACTAATTTTAGTTTCACATACCATCAAATAAAACTTTCTACTTTCACAACTCTTCTATAGGCTTTCCTAACAATATTTTGAAAAGCACCAGCAACTTTCATGGTTTGCTGCTACATACGCGGGGAACTTTTAACAAAGCTTCAGAATTTTATCCTCTCCTCCTATCATTTTCCAGAAATGCTCATAGCTACAAACCAATTAATGAAAAATTCCAAAAAATTTAGAAAGAACCAAAATGAAATTTACCATCAACAACAGTACCACGCGCATCAATGAACTACAAAAGAATCGTTCAAAAAATACGTGCTTCTTCAGTTCAGGTCCCAAAAAAAACTATGGTGAAATGAACTTTCCGAACATTTTAGACAATAGCCGACCTCTCAAAATTATTCACAAATTTAAGCTTCGCTGCTGCACTAACTCAAAACGAAATCACAAAAAACCAGTTTTGAATTATGAAGATTTAAAACTTTTGAAAAACACCGAAATCGATTTATTCTACGCAAGAAGTACAGATCGTACAAAAATAAAATAAAACCGATCTATCCACAAATGACTAAGCATAGTATAATCACTTTTTTCTTCTCTTCCCATGTAACTTTTTATACAGCTTAGAGACTAATAAAAGTTCACAGCTGCCCACAGTAGAAAATTTACTCACTTAATAATGAGCAGGAATTGTAACGGTTATCAAGCGACATTTGCCATGTCAACGCAACCGTGTTGCAAACACCGCTTCTCATGCCAATACCCTGAAGAAAGTGAATCATGTTAACCAAAGCAAAAATATTTCGCTTTCTCCAGCATAAAACTACAGTGCAGCTGCTCTTTTTTCAACAGGCCTAAGGCTATGTGTTAAACCCGATGTTGGTTCACCAGCTCCGCCAAATAACTCTACATATTATGTATATCCTATCGGTTTTTGTAATCTTTAGAACAGCTTCACACAATCCTAAAATTTACATCAGTAGTTGGCCAGAACCATATAGAACCATTCAGTGAGGAAAAAACAATCATTACCAATGCAGCAGAACGTCATATTAAATTATTTAGGGCGAATGAAAATAAGAATTCTTCTGCGGAAAACTTCATGTAAAATCTCAAGCGGAATTTGCAACTGCGAAAGGATATAAGCTGGCCTTTGGAAAGTTTACGTCCTAGAAGATGGCGCTTAAATCTGTTACAAACCGACGAAAAAACTGAGTCAATAACTTCCTTCCTTGTCCTAGAAACTGTAAGGGACAACCAAAATCTGTTTTAAAGAACGTCCGAAGCGAAGAAAACTTAACCAGTCCAGTCGACGAAATTCCAGGCATAAATGTCTACTTGAAGGACAACTTGGAAAGATTTCAAAACGAAATTTCTCGTTGCTGTTTATAAGGGCGCAATACTGCAGCTTTATACCTAACGCCCAACAACTGCTACTGTAATCTGCTGAAACGGAACTTTGGAAGGTTCGCAGAATAGTTATCAATGAAGTTTATGGGACAAGAAGATTACCATCGACATCTGCATTATATTCCTCTCAAACTGTAATGCAGAAAACCTGTATAACTCTAAGATATATACAGATATGGCGTCTTTACATCCTTGAAATTGTACTGTCGGGATGATGCAGTATTATCTAACAGTTATATCAACCGTCCAGCTACTTTACTCCTTTAAAACAGCTTTTACTATAGATGTCTATGAGACTATGAGCTGCTACAAATGGCAAAAGTGTTAGCATGAACTGCCTAAAAAGAGCAACATTTTTTGTTTGCTCAGTTGAACTTTCCCAATTTTAATATTATGTCCTTAATTTTTTTCTAACCACGCCAGAAATTTAACAAGTATTTAATTTTAAAAATTCCAGTAAAAAAGCATTGGAAACAAAATAATTCTTTGGAGTAACTAGCTTCCTCTGCCAAATATTTCTAAAAATTGCAACTACCACTCGGGAAAATCTAAATAAGATTTCATTGATCTAGTTTCTTAGAGCACTTTCAATATTATGACTGTTGTCCTTCAACTCTCCTGCACCATTCATGAAAATAAGTAACAACTTTTATCGGCACAAGCATATGTTCAATAGTTTTATTACAAGTAAAACAATTTACTTTCATGAAGCGAAAAAGAACTTAAGCTATGGTCACCGGGATCGATAAACAGCGTCCTCTGAGCAAGAGGTCCGAAGGTCTTGAATGCAGACAGCCACCACTTTGAAGAAGCTCGTGGAAGTTAAAATACGCAGGGCTTCATCCGGTTTCATTTCATATAATACAAATTCGCTTTTCAAAGTAATGCGTGCAGTATTTTGAAAATCGGAAATTTTTTTTTCTAAAAGAGCAAGACGGAAAAGGAATTTTTGATCTTAGTGAGGAATTACCCAATACTATTTTTAAAAATGCTTATAATCGTTTTCTTCTTTCTGTTTGCCGTTTACAAGTCACTTTACTTTATAAATAAAATTTTTTTCAAAAATATTTGCAGCTTCTATTACAGTCAGCTGAAGTTTCAGTTTTCAGATTATACGCAAGAACCGATCAAAAAAAGTGGAACTGAACTTTAATTGGTGTTTGTTAAATTCATTAAACTCTAACTTTCAGTTACTTCTCCTCTAAATTCAACATGTTTTTAGTTGGTCGAAACAATAAACCATACAGATACAAGTAGGATAACACATGTGAGAAAAAGTAAACATAAATCCTAGGAAGTAACTTTGAGTTAGGCTAAGACTTCAACAATATGTTTTCCTGTTGACGACAAATTTTGAACAAATAGTCTCAAGTAGACTGCACACTTAAGCTGTTCTGCTAAAACATAGCCTACCAGTCTTTACGTTCCTCTTAACGGTGATCCACTTTTGGTTTGCGAGAAAAAAAAACGCTTAACGGTTGAAGGTATATTTCATAATGGAGTTATTGTGGAAAATGGATAAAATTTGGGGTAATCAAGCAAAAATTTCCAGAGAATCTGTAATTATTTGGTGGGGGTCTATTCAGGGAAAATGGAACATCTTGAATTTGAAAAATGCCGATGACTGCGAAAAACAGGAAAAATGAAAAATCTTGGAGTTGAAAACTGTCGATAATTGAGAAGAAGCAAGAGGAAAAGCCAAAGATCAATCTCGGAGCAAAGTGAAAAACTGGCCGTCTTATTGTATTTGACGCTCCCTCGCCAAAAACACAAATATGCGCAACGTTTTGAATAATTGTGCTACATGAAAACTATTTGAGACTTGACCCTACGTGTTAGAACTCTTCTGAAGAAGCAAGAAAGCCGTAATTAATTAAATTAACGTCTTTCAAACCCAACGTTCTTTACAGTACTTAAGGTGCAACATACGAAACGCCTAGACATTGCTACATTTATCTATCAATTATTACATTGAATAAAACTTAACTTTGTTTACCTCATTAAAATTTACTCCTTGCTCTAGTTTACGTCATCAACTGCTCTGAGAGAGCGTGCTGTTGAAAATTGCACCAGATACCAAGTTTATACGACCCTAAAAACACCCTTTTTTATGCAGGCATATGGGTCTCTATATCGGCCAGTCCAAAATATCGTTCCAAGTAATAGTTGGTATGTAGAGTAGTGAGGAAAACTGAAGTTTCAATACAACCGCCCAGAATATTTTTTCATTATTCGTTGTCTTAAAACTAGTATTGCACCGTTACAGCAAGCTAAAGAAAATTTTGACGATTTTTCTCCAAAATCAATCGGCAAATACAATAAGTGAGAAGGTAATGAAAATATAAGCTAATGCAGGCAGTAACTGATTAATTGGCCAAAAAACTGTCTAAATTTTGTACCAAAGAACTGACCCACCAAGTGTGAACAGCTACAAATCAACGTTGTTGACGCTGTCCAAGTAAAGAAGCAAATTTCTTAACTCTCTATCGTGACAAACTTGTAGAAGTGCAAAAGAAGGCAGAAGCAAAGGTAACGGTAGGTCACGTCGCTTGTTCGCTTGCTTTTTCTGTTACCTTCCGTTGGATTTTGTGGTATTGATGCTAAAAACAAAGTATAGCCTCTTCTATTTCCGAAAAAAAAGAA